GGGCTACACGATCAGTCACAGCAGAGACTCGAATCAGGGTGACTGTCTTTAATGGGTTTAACCAGTAAATCAGGAAGGTAAAAGCTGGGGTCTCGAGATCACAGAGGGGCGCGAAAGCTTTGCATGGGGACGCTCAGGGCCTGGTAAAAGTGGCCTGCAAATTGCCTTTCTGAACCTTAAATGAGTGGAAAGTGATAATCAACTGTGATTTAATTCATTTTATATTTTAAATTAAATGCAGTTCAGTCTTTGGCCTGGCTCTGCCGCTTTTTCAAAGACAACTCTCTGCTATTGCTTCTCTAAAAGATTCTGATTTTATGCCATTAATTAATTATCTTAAGGCACACCCTCTCTACACACCCCACACAAAGACCTGGATGAGTCAGGTCACAGTAACCTCTGAGTGTGGTTAACCAGCTGTCCTTTTTTTACAGACCAAAGAGCTAATTTATTCAACCTGCAGGGCGAATAATCCTATGACTTCTACTGAACTGTAATGAAATGAAATGAAAACGGAATCAAATTTAATCTCGGTTGCACGAGGTCATCTACAGCAAACTGAGATTATATCAAAATGGCCACATTTTTCAATGATATGCCACTCAGAGTTGCTGTTGAGCTGGGTGGTCTTAGAAATCTAACTTATAAATAGATACAAATATAAATGTAATCACTCTTACATTCTTGCATTCCCACCAGGGCATCTGGGAGGTCAAAAAAGTCAAGTCCCCCAACGCTTTTAGCTTTTCTGTGGGGTTATTGTGGTTAGTACAATTTTCCTCAGGGTCTCAATGGCTAGAAAATGTTGTGGGTTTTTTTTTCTTTTTCTTTTAATTCTTTCTGTTTTACAGGTAGCTTTCAATTAGCGATGGCCTCATTTAGCGACCATTTGTAGATACGACAGTGAAGAAAAAATAACTTTGCAACCAATCCGCGCATTTACGACTTTCACAGGTCTGCAAAACCAAGGAAAGCTGAAGTCAGATCAGTCTGACACAGTCACGGTTTCACTTAGCAACTGCTTTGCTTAGCAGCCAAGTTGCTGGGCCCAATTGTGGTCACTAAACGAGGACTAGCTGTACTTTTGTGTTATTGTAAGTCACTTAGTTCTCTTTGGAATGGAGCAGCATAGAAATTGCAGAAATCAATCAGTCAATGAAAAGAGAATTCCAATGCGTGCTTCCAGAAGAAAGATGGGGTATACATTTATTTATTTATTTGTTTGTTCAATTTATATAGCCACCCATCTCACATACGTGACTCTAAGCGGCTTACAATAAAATAACAAAATAAAATATGTTGAGGATGATGATGATGATCAAAAAATCAGTTAATTCAGAAAATCAGTATTCTCTCTCTGTTTCAGGCTACCAGAGGCAGTTAAACTATAAGCATTCTGATGGTTCTTATAGCACTTTTGGAGAACATAGTCACCTGCCAGGAAATACCTGGTGAGTTTATGTTGCCAACCTTACAGGGTGCGTGTGTGTGTGTGCGCGCGCGCATGCTACACTCTTTCAATATTTCTAAAATTGCAGGATCAATCATGGATGTTTAAACTAATTTTTCTAAGGACCTCTACTACTGCTCTCGTTGCTACCACTTTTGCTGCTCTTCCTCGTCACATAAAAAAAAAAAATCAAGTTGCTAACCCTCATGGTTCTAAAGCTAGATTAGGGCTAGAGGTGACCTTGGAGAAACTATGTGGCTCCAGTTACAAAAACATGTTTTAAGCCTGGGAAATGAAAAAATCGTTAGAAGGAAAGTCAAACTGACTCTGCCTTAACTTCCTGGAGTATAGGAGGGATGTTGTTAACCACCAAATGTTATCATGAAATAGAGGTAGTCCTTGACTTACAACCACAATTGGGACTGGAACTTCCATTGGTAAGTGATGCAGTCGTTAGGTGAGTCACGCCCAATTTTATGACCTTTTTTGCTGTGGTCATTAAGTGAATCCAGCTTCCCCCATTGACTTTGCTTGTCAGAAGCTCCCTGGGAAGGTCACAAATGATGATCATATGACCCCGGGATGCTGCAACCATTGTAAATACATGGCAGTTGCCAAGTGCCTAATTTTGATCACGTGACTATGAGGACACTGTGATGGTCGTAAGTGCAAGGACCAGTCATAAGTCACTTTTTTCAGTGCCATTGTAACTTTGGACAGTCATTGAACAAATGGTCATAAGTCGAGGACTACCTGTATTGTGACATACAAGAATGATAACTAAATCATTGTATGTATGTATGTATGTATGTATTTATTTATCGGACTTATATAGCCACCCTTCTCACTTGCATGTGACTCTGGGTGGCGTACACAATTAAAACAAAAACTAAATCAACACAATTTGACCATTAAAACCAATAAAAAAGTTAAAAAACTATAATAACAGAAAGATAGGGAAGAATGCAGTCTAAACTTATATCAGCCATTTAACAGGCTCCAGTCACAGAATCTTATAGTCAGAAGGCAACTTAGAGGTCATCTTGCCCAGGCTTCTGCTCAGTGCAGGATCCAGCAACTACCCAGCCTCTATCTGAAAATTTCTAGCACATGAGAACATCAAGTGGCAGTCTGTTCCACCGGCTGACAGCTTGTACAGTCAGGCAGTTGCTCCTGAAGTCCACCCTGAACCTCCTTCCTTGTCGCTTTGAACCCGCTGGTTCTGCTCCAGCCCTCCGGGGCAACTGAAAAAAAGCTCCAATTATTCCTCTTCTATAAAAATAAATAAACCCTGAAAGAGGCATGGCTGGATTTGGGGGACCTGTCTGCATCTATTTTGTGAACAGGTAATCACTCAAGTACCCATGATGAGGAGAGTTCTCAAGGCCTCGTTAGTAGCTTTCTCCCGGTTCAGAGAATGCAGGCAAACATCTCTCTTGACAGGTAAGACCTCCAAGGGAGGAAAAAGAGGCTGACGCTGCTCTCTGCTCCGCCCTGTTCTGCAGGCTGACTGCGTTTGTGCTCAGAGCCATAGCTCAGTCCAGGCGCTACATCTTTGTGGACCCGAAGCACATCACAGATGCTCAAGCTGCCCTGGCCGTGATGCAGAAGGAGAACGGCTGCTTCCGGAGCACCGGATCCCTCCTGAACAACGCGCTCAAGGTACGGGGGAAGATCAGAGGGGTCTGTCCCAAGTCACAGAGATGCCAAAAGGAGGAAACGGGTCGTCACATCCCTTGGTGACAGTTGTGCGCCACCCAGAAATCAAGATGATCCCAGAGCTTCAAGGAATTTAGTGTTGAACTCAGGGAAGGAGCAAGAGAGTTGTTAATGGACAAGGTAGGAGCAACCCATTAAGGAGGGATGTGGAGAGGAGATGACACGGTCTGGAGATTGAAGGAAGCCTGAGAAAGAAATGCAAAATAATCTTGATTTTGTTTACAGGTAGTCCTTACTTAATAGGGACCAAAAAATTGGTTGTTAAGCGGGGTGGTTGTTATGCGAATTGGACCTGATTTTATTACTTTTTTTGGGGCGGTTGTTAAACGAATCACTGTTAAGCGAATCACACAGTCATTAAGCAAATCACGTAGTTCCCCATTGATTTTGCTTGCCGAAAGCCATCTGGGAAGGTCGCAAATGGCAATCACATGTCCCCGAGATGCTGCAACTGTCGTAAGAGTAAGCTGGTTGCCAAGCACCCAGATTGTGATCACATGACCGCGGGGGAGCTAGGACATAACTTCAGGCACCAGTCATAAGTCACTTTTTTTAGCACCGTTGTAACCTCGAATGGTCACTAAAGAAATGGTTGTTAAGCAAGGACTACCTGTAGTATAAGAGGGGACAGAGAGCTACTTGGGAGGATTTCAAGACTGATGTCAGCCTTTTGAGATAGGCCAAGTCAAGAAACAGATCCTGCAGGGATTCCAGGAATGCTACCTCATTGTTGTAGGGTTTCATAACAGAATCTTGAAAGCCTGCCAGAGTTCCTCTCTTTTCCATCTTATACTAAACAAAATCAAGGCAGGGTTATTTTGAGTTTCATTCTCACACTCCCTTCAATCTCTGAACAGTAACATCTTTTCTCCAAGCCGCTCCATTCTCCTTTCCTCCATTAAGGGCTCTCTCATACCTTCCCCAAGATCAGTTGTTATAGAGCAGTGTTTCTCAACCTTAGCAACTTTGAGAGGGGTGGACTTCAACTCCCAGGATTCCCCAGCCAGCCATGC